GCAACGTGTGATTAAACATGAAAGCTGCAATTTATTAGAGAATAACTTACATATGAACTTCGTGGTTGCAAAGGATTTGTCATGAACAATTTGTGACATAATATGATAATCCAGTATGAAAATAACAAAAGCAACAAAATTATAAATACACCTTAAGTGCATTTCATTTACATTACCTGCTAACAATATTACAGTACGTATCTTCCTCGACCATACTACATATTTCAAAGACTTCACCTTCATTAAAGTACAATTTTTAGCGTTTGTGATAGTCTAAAAACATACTGGTATAATTTTCCTCGACCATGAAGTTTCTATCTGTATGTGGACCTTTGATTCCTGCAAAATTTGCTGTAATTAGGGTCAAAACAAACACCTATAACATTATTATTTGTAATAAACATGAATAAAAGCTATAGAAATTGTAATAGCTGTAGAATTGGTAGAACTAACAGTCATGATAAAAATTTTCGTAATAGAACTTACAACATGTACAACTTCCTTGTAAATATTACTTCTACGATTCAATATAACTGTCATGAGCTCAAGCGTGAGTGAACTGTCCTAACCTATATTTATAGTCAGATTTTCATTCACAAATACTACGTATGATTGCAAACTGAAGTAAAATTCTAGATTTGATGAATTTTCACATCAGAGTGACTGATCAAAAGCAAATTAAATTTCAGGAATTCAGGGTGTGCATGGGTGGAGTGCTTTACAGCTTCATGGCGGAAGGTTGCTTTTATAGTTGAACGTTGCCATACTTTTGGGAATGAGATACACTCGATCTCATACACTATGCTGCCACCCATTTCAACCAATAGAAACAAAGCAATCCAAATAGTGACTCAACCACATATCATGTATTTCACATCAACAGTGTGCACCTCTATTTTAAACCAATAGGAATACACGACAAATAATTCAGCTGTGCCCACCTTTTTTTCAACCAATAGAATTTGTCTAGATAATCATCTCTGAAATCTGCTTGCGTCATTGTAATACACCGTATCTTTAATTTTTGTAATACACCTTATGTTTAATTTAATTTTTTTTACTATTGTTCTTGATGTTGACAGATTTGAGCGGGAACCCTATTCCAAAAAATCTTTTGCTTTTATATATTAATAGATAGATCTTAGTACGTGTGGGCATTTATTTATGGTAGATTTTATGGTACCCATAAGGTACCATACTTTTGTCCACATTGACCAATGAGAATGTTGCAGTTGAATTATTTAAATATAAATTAAAAATGATAAAATGATGTACATCTATATGTGGTCCAATCAAATGAATGGTAGGTACGGTACCCCATTTTTTTAAAAGGTACCGGAGTTGTAACCTTTATTTATTACTCTGTATGTTACAGAGCTGGTTAATGATAACTACTCCCTTGACCAATGACGGTTTTTTAATATGAAATTATTTTGAGTATGAAAATTATACGGTGTATATTCCAATAAAATTTGTGGAGTGAAGATATTCCAATCTTAGAGCCCGTTTAGTAACATTGAAATCGACTGAATCGACTTATTCTGCCGAAATTTATGAAATTTTGGGTGAAGTGTATTGGCTGATTGTGCTGATTTATGAAAAAATCATACGTAGTATTTAGAAGATATTTTATTAATAAATAAAGAAAAAAATATATGTATTATGAAAAAATAGGTAAAATGGTCATCTACAGTAAGAATGTTTTTACTTGGATTGTAATCTGTCCCAGACCAGACCAGACCAGACCACATCGGACCAGACCAGACTTGGATGGTTATAAAAATAGTAAAATACAAAGAAATCAGACCAGACCAGATCAGACCAGACCAGCCTAGCAAATTACAGTCCAAGTAAGAACATCTTAACTACGGCCAATACATCCATAAAAGTAACTTCAACCTTACTTTTTCTTATTATAACACAATTTAGCGCGCAAAATCAAAATTTACGTGTTTGATTAAAAAGTTGATTGATAAGCCTGATTAGCCGAAAAACAGAGTCATCAAATAGGCTCTTAAAAAGTCTGAAATTATTGGATATTATCGTATTAATTAATATTCTACTCCCAGTAAACATGTATTTTTAGAGTTAAAAAAAAGTTTCAATCTTGAAGCTTCTGATATTGCTGAATTAGCATAAACATTTTTCATATGATTGATTATCACACTCCGTATGTTTTAAAAATCCGAACAAAATTAACAAATAGTCTTCCGATCATCCTTAATGGAGATATAGGGATTAAAAAAATACGATACATTTTTTCAAACAATAAAAAATTAAACCTGAGAAAACGACTATTACATTCTAAAATATAAAGCTGTAATTGAAAGGAAAATTTATTACGGGCTGGGCCGGGATTGAGTATTACGGAGTATCATACTAAGGGAGCGTTTGCAATTGCTTCAACTTTAAAAAATTGATTTTTTAAAGTGATTTTGGGAAAAGTGATTAATAGTTAAAGTTGGTAGTGTTTGAAAAAAAAGTGATTCTAAAAAAGTAAAAGTTGGTAGTGTTTGGTAAAATAAGTGTTTTTTGTGTAATAGAAAAAGTGAAAAGCAGTTTAAAGCACCCTTCTACCTGCTTCCAGCTTTTAGCTTTTAAGTGATTAATTTAAGCAGAAGCTCTCATTTGAAAACACTCTTTTCAACTTTTTTTAAGCCAAAAACTGAAAAGCGCTTTTTTAATTAACCGCAAACACTCCCTAATAAACATCCCAATTAAAACCGCCTTACAGCTTTGAGAAAAATATCAATATCGACCGCACGTGTAACAAAGAGCTACTGATGATGGCGTAAGCATGACAGAAAGATGACGTAATAATGCCTAGGCGGGAACAGCTTTGCCCCAGGTGGTCCAGCTTTTATATATATAGAGATCACCTTAACTATGGGGTTTTTTATTTGGAAAATAAAAATATGATAGAAAAAAAAACTAAGGTTGCACATCTTTTACAAAATTATAAGCATGAATGGGAGTAAAGGTTATTTTGGGCATTAAAAATTTGTTGGTGGTAATATGATGCTCTAGACAGATGTACCCATGTATTTTACCCATTGTACTTTGCGCTGCTCGTTTATCTGTCGTTCCGTCAACAAACGGTACTGTTAGTGCCACCCAACCCGCTCAGTCATTACACTATTTGCCTCCCTTCACGTCCAACCCATTCAACAGATGGAATGGTTAGGGTTAGATAGGATTTCGTTGAGATCTCACCCCGTCTAGCTCAGAAGAAACTCCACACCAGAGTTTTTCGCCTGGCTTCATTCCCTTAATCCATCATCTTCCCTCATTCGAGTAAGCTATTCTTTTTATTCAACACCCATTAATAGCTATGCTATTTCAGTACCTAACCGTACACAATAATGGTTGAAAACAAGGTGCTCGCCGGCTCGCCGCATAACCATTACCTGCAACAAGTTGCTTAATCGACTGGAAGAGGAAATGGAGGAATCTCGTTCGACTTGAAGTGACTATTGATTGGATTTAGAAAAGTGGGTAGGTCCTCTTTTCTAAACAAGGAATGAGATAATCATCTTACACAAGGAATGAGATAATCATCTTACACAAGTTATGCTTTCTCCTTTTGTTCTTAGCTATTTTTCTTAAGGGTCAACTGAATAGCCTAATTGGCATCTTTTTAATTATTCTCACTGTTGTTGCTGTTGTATGTAATGCATCCATACTATTTCATTTGTTCCTAAAAATATATCTACTTAATGAAAAATAGAAACGATTAACTTTGGTTAAATATGTGTGGCTCATGTTGGTTTTCTGTACAAGAAAGAGTGAAAAGGAGGGGATGTGACACTGTTAATAAGCTACTGTTCTTATGGAAAGTGGAAACAAATATTGTTTCACTTATGTATTCGCTTATGTATTCTTATGTATTTCTATCACACTGTCCAAAGGTAGCTTACTTTGACATAATGAATCCTTGAACTAAGCTAAACTAACAACATTATCCTTTACTGGGGACGGGGGGAGTCTTTGGCTGCTTTTTAGTCAGAGATATTACAACCTCTAGCCATATTCACACTATCATATTTCCTAAGTGGCCTCTTTCTTTGATTTATTTCTTTTCTTTCACAATATAACCCTTGTAAATGTTGTGAATTTTTAAGTCATGAATGTCATCTGGTGCTAGCAAGAGAAGTTGGCTCACTTGGATGCGACAAAGAATTACTTTCACTAGAAACCAAGAATTCTGTGCAAGGGATAGAGCCACTTTTCTTTGGACAATTGCTCCTATTTGAGGTGATTGTCTTTTTTCAATATTTTTGTAAAATGAACAACAGCTTTTGTTTTTGTGGTATTCAAGATTCTGGCATAATTAACATCTTTCTCTAGACAGAGATGAGTCTTTTCATTGGATTATCATTTTTTTTTGAATAACATTGGATTATCACTTTTGAGAGCTGGTTTATAAGAAATTATTGAAGTGCGGGATAATGCTGAATTACGGAGTATAATCTAAAATATTAAACATCCAGCTACCGTATTACTTAAGACTAATTTTCTTAAACATCCAGTTAAAAGTATGAGCCAAGGATAGGCCATATCCACCCAAGAGCAGTTCACTTATTTGGGAACCGAACCGGGCTGTTCTAGACCCAGACCAACCGATTTTTTTTAAAGCTTGAAACTGTGCAAAAATAAAAATAAATAAAACACACCCGGGGCTAGGAAAGGAACCGGACCGTCCAGGTACCTGGAACAGGCCCAAACCTGGAAAATAACAGGTCAGTCCCAGCCGACCATTTTTTTTGAACCAGGCGTTGTTGGCCCGGAACTGGGACCAGACCAACCCATTCCATTCATAAGTCTAGGTTGTTATTTGTGACTTGTGAGTTACTTTTTCTAAATTCTGCTTGTCTATTTTTTTCTTCATTGGGGTCTAGTGGCAAATATTGCGAATATGAATAGGTGCAAGAGTTTTCTAAGCAGTTTTTATTCTGGATTGGTATTTCTACAAGCATTTCGCATAAAACAATTTAAATAACCCCTTGTAGAAGCTCCCCTGTAGGATCACTACTTCCTCATGCTAATAAATAAAATCAAATGCACTAGTTCCCGTCACACATGTAAATTGTTCGAAAAAAGTCAACCCAAGTATTCCATCCACCCTACCTCAATGTCACTTTTAGCATAGCATATACAGGTAATATATGTCCCTTGAGCTGTTAAGCATAGGCATATATGATACATTTAGCCATGTGTTAGCAAATACTATTTAAGTTACAACATCACATGGTCAGGTTGAAGATCTCTATCCGTTTGATAAGCTACACATTTTCAATATTCAACTCAACACAAACATATGGTGTAAAACTCTCTTTTTCCGAATCTAGCCGCGAAACTGAGGGCTCAAAACTGCACCCCACTACCTCCATTAAGGTTGATATTCACACGCATTAGGGTGAGGAGCCTAGTCTGGTAGCTTCAAACGACTGAAAAGCAGAAGAAAGCTCTGCTCTAGATCGGTGTACATAAAACCAAGATCTGCACCTTTAATGTGTGGCCCAAAACCCTGCATGTTTAACCAAGTCTTAATACACTTGCGCAGGTAGGGGAGCCCGGGCCCAAGCCTACCTCGAGTTCGTTAAAAACCTTTATATATGTATAATCTATTTAGTATAAAATTCTATGAAACAATTTTCTTTCCGGCCCAACAAAAATGTAAGAATTGTGATGCTATCATATATGTATGGTTGTATATATATGTATGGGTGGGTGTATACACACACAGACATAAGCACACACATTTATATGTAACTATTTTACAATCACTGCAAAATAAAATTCTTGTTTAGGATAGTTACAAAAACGATGTCACATTACAAGAGTTGATCATTAATTAGAAAATTGCAACTTTGAGATCAAAAGTTCTCATTCTTAGATGTGCTTAAGATAAAAGGTGTTTTTAGAAGAACCTTCTTTTATATATACATATGTATACAAACACACACATACACACAGATATATACAAAGATATGTATTTAGATGTAATGTATATGTCAATATATATGCTATATGTGTGTGTAGGGTTAGGTCACTTAGGTGTAAATGAAAAGAACACTTCTCATGAAAAGTAAGAATACATCTGCCTTTCGTTAATAAAAATGGATGAATTGGATCATTTTTTATTTAAGAGGCGCTGACAAATCTGCAACGCTTTGAGTTATATTTTGGTCAAAAACAAAGTACGCCCAACGGAAATCCAGTGTTTTCAATTATTCGGGCCCTACACCAACACATTTTATCTTTCGGATCCCGGATTGATAATTCATTTATCTTTCAGGCCAAAATCCTCTCAGCTTTAGGTGAGAGTATCTTGTTCGTGCACCCCAAAAAATCACCCCTACAACTAACTCATATTCACAACATTAATGTGTAAAATGGAACATATTTAGTTTAAGACAGATTTTTTTCCATATTATCATTTTTGTCATATTATCATTTTTCTAAAAATACTTTTACGAGATTATCATTATGTTGGGCATGAGGTTTCACGCTTATGCGTAATATTGTAGTATGTGTGTTTGGAGGATCAAGAACATAAGAATGTCATAAAAGGTTAGCAGATTACCTTGCCATTGAGTTGAAGCAACTCCCCCTCAACCCACTTGGGATTTTTGAAACCGGGTTCTGCTATTCTACCTTGGCCTTTGTAGCTCGCAGCCTACAGATTCAAAATGCAATATGACTTGCCTGAAACATATCTCTTGACTAGTAGTTCAGAAGTCGGAACTACATAGTGAAATTCCTATTGTTTATATAGGTGCATGACTGTGTCTAAAAGGAAAGGTGAAGAAATATTTCTTTTATCGGAGTAAATATATCTAAAAAAGTTACTATGAAGTTACTTTTTCATAAGTAGTAGTTGCAGTACTAATGAACTGAAGTCAATGGTTATTTGTCAGTGGGCTCCAAAGAGATGCACTTCTTTCATAGAAGTTACGCAAACATTTAAGTTTAGCAATTCATTCTCCTTATGGGAGGCCTTTATCGACCGAATGAACCCCCTTGGGAATGAAACTTCGAAATATAAACTGATTAAAAAGCTTTCCAAAAAAAGCACTTACAGAAATATGATAGGGATCCAGACACTACTATTAATAAGAGTCTTATTAAGTATTTTAATATTGTTCAATAATAGGGTTCTAGGCCCATTAACTTAGTTGAGGGCCGGCCCTTTAGGAGAGTGTTATTTAAGAACGGGTAGGGGGGGAATAAGGGGGGCGGAAACTAGTCGGGACTGGGAATTAGGAGAGCGAGACCTCTCCAAGAGTCTCAAACTGGTTTACTTCTTTACCGTTTCTGTATTTTCTTCTCAATCGACATCTGTTTTTCCTTTTACTATTCTGGTTCCTATCATTTGGTATCAAAGCAAGTGACGATCGTTATACCTGCACATGGTCTTTACTCGAGCGAGAATGGAGCAACGTGTGGAATTCCTAGAACACACCTTAGCGAAAGTGAAAACTGCCGTGAACAAACTGCTTGGCTTGCGCGAGACGGTGACCGAACTGAAGAATCTGATGTTACACGGTGATCACCGTAGGAGAGGAGGACGGTCATCGGTCGCGGGTGTCTAAACATCATCGCCGGGAGGAAAGTGTGAACTTGTCGCATACCAGAGGTCATTCTAACAGTTCTCACGCTTCGTCCTTTACTCCGGAACCTACAGTAAATAGGTATTATGCTCCTATTGGAAGGAAAGTTGACTTACCTGTTTTTAACGGGGAAGATGCACATGGGTGGATCATTAGGGTGGAAAGGTTTTTTCGGTTGAATCAACTTAAGGAGACTGAGAAAATAGAGATGGTGGTAGTGGCAATGGAGGAGAAAGCTATAAACTGGTACCAATGGTGGGAGGAACAGACCAATGAACGTTCCAGGGAAAATTTTAAGGAAGCTGCGATTCGACAGTTCCAACCAGGGATGGTGCAAAATCCCTTCGGTCCTATTCTTAGCGTGAAGCAGATAGGATCAGTCATGGACTATCGGGATAGATTTGAGCTGGTCGTAGCCCCCCTCCGAAGCATTCACAATGGAATGCTTAAAGGCATTTTTATCAATGGCCTAAAGTAGAAGATCAAAGCAGAACTCAAACTGTTTCCTGCAGAGTTTGACCAAGCTGATGGACCGTGCTCTACTACTGGAAGAAAAGAATGTGGCTCTGAGAATAAGAGGAAGCAAGGATGGAGACAAGGGAGTATGGAAAGAAAAAGGGGGGGCTGTATCCAAGCCTCAAACAGTGGATAGAAGAGAACAGGTGGAGACATGACCAAAATAATACCAGCCTCACTGAGAAGGTTTCAGCTGATATTAAAACAGAAGAAGCACCCAAACTGAACCAAACATGGGAGGGAGGCCAAAGGTTGTCACAAGCAGAGCTAGAAGAAGTAGAAAGGGCCTGCGTTTCAAATGTGGAGACAAATGGAGTAAAGAACATGTTTGCGGAATGAAACATTATAAATTTATCCTTGTGGAAGGTCTAGAAGAGGAGAAAGGATCGGATGCACAGCTGCCTGAATTGGATGTAGCAGAAACTTTGTTGAAGCCAAATGCCAAAACAGTTTCTTATCATCCACCTTGAGGACAAGGTGGAAGTTCAAGGGGGGAGTGATGATAGGGATCCGGGCACTACTAATAATAAGAGTTGAGGGCCAGCACTTTAGGAAAGTGTTATTTAAGAAAGTTCAAAAGTACAAAAGCCACACACAAACACAGGATTCTACCCACCACAGGAAAAGTTTTTTTCCCGGCTTCATCCACCAGACTTTCATTATGAGCAAAAAGTACAAAAGCCACACACAAACACAGGATTAAAATTAGAGTGAACAAGTATTTACCACTCCTAGCTCAACTGGGTACATCCCTTTGTTAGTAGATCGGATTCCTTTTCCAATTCTACAACGAAATATTACCTGATGAACCAAATACGTTATTATCATTTAGTATCAGAAAAAACAGTGGCTCAAGTGCTCAACTACTGTTTTCACAAACCTCGCCAGCGCGAACATTTAGATCGCCTGTTAATGTTATGGCCTCAACATACTCAAAGAACTCAATATCAGATGATTTCTCTTCATCGTGTGAATTCCAGTTGCCATATTTACGCTTTATGTGCACTATCTCAGTACCATAAGGTCCAAACGCCCCTACATAGAGACCTAAAAAAAAAGAGATAAATTCATCCCCAATATAAAACATTGACAGAAAAAAGTACGAGACGGTAAGAGCTGCATCATTTACAAATATAAACAAATGGATTAAAGTTTAAGTTCAGCCTAGAGTGTGGATGGGTAGGTGAATGAGAGTACTGACCATCAAAAGGGTCTAAATTGCTGCCAGATGTTGTGACCCTAGTAAAACTTGTATATTCAGACAATCTATTCCAATTCTGTGCCTGACCAATCCCAAGCTTCAGTATTTCTCTCACTTTTTTTGAAATCTGCAGCAGTTGTAGCCTAGAAAATTAAGAAACCCATGCGACTATACTAACAAACATCAGCTTAGGTGCCAATGATATCCAGTTTCTTTTGTTTTTAAATTTTAATTGGTTCATTTAGAAATAGTAATACATTTTCCTTGCCCGGTACAATGTTAATGTTATTATACCCTCTGTTCCAAAGGAAACTTCCGGCTTTCCTATTAGGGTTGTCCCAAAATTAATTTCTCATTTCCAAAAAAAGGTAATTTTTCCGTTAATAACATTACTCCTTACCCCAACTTCTGTATGAAAAGCTGTGGACTCCAAAAACTTTTAACCAAAAGCAAATGAGAAGTTCATTTTGGGACAAATTGTCTAACCCTTATGACTTTCCCTATAAAAAGGGTAAAAGATCCAAAAAGCATGAGAGCCAAAAGAAAAATCTAGCTCCTTATCCTCCATAAATTTTACTTATTTACTTTATTATTATTATTATTTCACTCTTTTGTTAAGTTAAATAATTAACTAATCACTTAATTAATTTTGGATTCTATCTAAAAGATATACGAAGTATCTAGAAACAGTGAAAGAAAAATATAGGGACTGATGCATAACCTTTGGAGAAACTTTGTCAGAAAATAAAAAAGCCTTCGCCACATCAGGAGGCATGAGTTCGGAAACACTTTGGGCAGCTATAGTTGCCACACTAACTGCAGATTGAGAATTTTCTACACCATCAAGATCTTGATATGTCCTTGGAATGTGGAACACAAAAGAATCTCTCTCTAGATCTTTAATTTCTGCCGGTACACGAATAAACTCATCTTTGGTTGGATTATCTTCTTTATCGTGAAAAATTCCACCTACAAAAAGTTTTATTTCTGGACTCTGATCATCTTCAGATGTGGTGCTCTCACCTCCCTCAGGAATTTGAATATGATTGTTGTCATCAAGGTTACTGGTTTCAAGACTTTCAGCAACTTCTTTCTCACTAAATTCACTGGATATATTACCATTATTCTCATCACTACTGTTTTCACTGACTTCTTCTATTGCTTGCCTCGCAGAATCACTCTCTTCAGTGACGTTTAGTTTAATAACTTTCAGTTTCAAATCAGGAATTCTATCTTTGAGAAAATTTATCACGCTTTTTACCCCTTCCTCAGCAGCTTCCTCAGAATCCATGCCTTTTCCATTTCTTTTTTCAATTTCATTATCATTGACCTTAGCATCAATAACTGATACATCCTCGATATCAGCAGTGGAAGATCCCACTGGTTTTGAGTTCAATGAAAATGGATTTGGTTTGATTGATTTGGTTCGTTTCAAGAATACCGCCTGGAAAAAAAGCAAATGAGAAGCAGCAGTAGAAAAATGGAAACTAAAACAGTAGTGTTTCAAACAGTTTTAAGAACTGTTTGGTTTTTATGTATATCACCTGCATGTTGTAAGAACTGTTAGCTTTTTTTATGACATAGAACTCAAATAGCGGTGTTCCGGGAGAAGCATTGATCAACTGCCTGCAATCAACCAGCCCTGAGTCTGTCAATTGAATTTCCAGGAATGACATGAAAATAATCAGAAGAGAGTGAGATAATAATATCTTTCTATACCAGTCCTACCATTACTACCTTGGGGTATAACTCCTGGCAATAAATCTGCCCATAGCAGGAGATATACGTATTAATCTACCGAATGGATTGTCAGAGCCCTTTGAGTAGCCAACCCACCAACCAACCTGAAATTAGAACAATGATCTAAGGCACAAAGGTTTTGTACTTTTCTGGCACACATCACACGTGTACAACACTGACACGCATTATTTAAGAGCAACACTTCCCATTGTTTCACCCATGATGAGCTACTCCACCCTTTTTTGGAGCATCTAATGATAAGAAACACTTTAGTAGCGATGTAGGGTTGTATACCAATAAAATAATTTATGCTTGGGTCGGGATTCGAATTCGTATAAGACTTTTTGAATTTGAAAAATCCAAATACAAATAAGAATACTAAATTTGATTTGAATCATTATCAAATACAAAGAAGAATATTAGCATATTCGATTCGAATGTTAATCAAATATATTCGATTAATAATAGTTATAATAGCATAATAATATAATATTAATAATAATATTAATAATAATATTAATATTAGTAATAACACTATAATAATTTTTTTTTGCAATAGTAATAAATTTTAAAAGCTGGTATACGGTTTTACCTTCAAAGTGTAGCCCATATATACATTAACATATACACATTCCAAGCTCATTTATAATAAATCATAATTATCAAACGGATTAAGGATTGTAAACGGAACAAATAATTTTGATTTGATTCGTGATTTGGATTCAAAAACCATGATTTGAATTTGAAAATATAGAATATGAATTCGATACACCTTTCAAATACAAATACATATAATTATGTATTCGATTCAAAGAATAATCCAATATATTCATTTATACATATATAACACCAACTACCCAGTATGTGTGTTTGCATCAACTATCCGGTATATGTGCGTGTGTATAGTATAAACCATATACCTACTAGATTTTTTATTATCAACAATGTTAAATATCTAATATAAAATTAGAGCCATTTTACTTTGATATAATTATCAACTTATTTCACGCATTATATGTATAATTTCTAATATTTGCGTGTTAGTGTTTATTTCAAAAAATTTCAAATAGATTTATGTATATTAATTAGATTTTGCCTCATATAGAAGTAAAACATGATAAAAAAAATCCTAAATAGGAGTCCATGTTTTTTATTCCCAAAATAGGAGTACAAATGACTTTTCTACCCTTGCTTTAATTTAATTCCACATTCCTAATGCAAGACTGTCGCACTACTATCTCTCTCCTGTCTTCCTCTTGGCTCTTCAGATCTAAATTGGGCATCTCTTCCATCTTCCAGTTGCCAATCTCTTCTCGAAACGACAGACGCCGTGACTCTCTTGTTCATTGGAATCGCCGCAACTCCATCTTTTTCCCCAGTATAATCGCCGCTTCTCCATCTTCTTTAGCTCTGTGCATCACTTCGCAGGTGGTCCTCCTCCTACTTCTTTCTCTTCTCTTCTTACCCTTTTTCTTCCTCCTTTTCTTCTTCTCCTTCTTCTTCCCCTGTGTTTTCCTTTGCTATTATCCACATTCTTATTGATTTTTTCCAATTTTCTTCATTTTTTATTATGCTACTCCCTCCGTCCCATTGGACTTTGCCAACTTTCCCTTTTTGGTTGTCCCAAAAAACTTTGTCATTTTCCTATTAAAGCAACTAATTTGTGGTTCTGCACATTTCTCTCTCCTCTGCACAAATCTCAACCACACAGTTTTTATTATTCTTATTTCTCACCTACTTTGCACTTGGCAAAGTCCACCGGGACGGAGGTAGTATTTTTTATTGAATTCGGAAAATTTCTAAATAAATATGTGGTTGCGCTTTTATTCGAGCATTGAAGAGAAATGAATGATATGTTTGCATTACCTTTGTCAACATGGCAATATTACTCTTATAATGCCATATTTTTCACTCTTGGAATTTCAACATGGCAATACTACTCCTTTAATGCCATATTTTTCAATCTCAGAATGTGACTTTTAAAAAATAATTGATCTTATTTTTATGGCACTAAATTTGAATGTGAAAGTGGCACAATCACTATTTTTATTTTCCCCAGAGCTATCCTAGATTCAAACATTAATTTTGAAATAATGCCTTTTTTTGGCATTACCTTTAGTAAGAAAGCAATATTATTTTTATAGTGCCATATTTTTCAAACTAAAAATGTCATTTTGTCACCTAATGCCATATTATGGCGGTAGCATTGTTCAGGTGGCACTTTTTATTACTGTTATCAAGGATGGCATTATGATATCAATATATCATTATTACATGGATTCATGTTCTGTGCCGGTATTTCATCACCAACAGTCACCGTGCCTGAAGTGTTGGTAGCCGGAGATGACGGTGCGGTGGCGACGGCCTCATCGAAGAAGGAGATCTGCAGCGGATCTAGGTGTTGAAGGAGGCGGCAGCCTCGTTGGAGGAGGGTGGCGCGGTGGCAGTGTCGACTGAGTGTGGTGGAGGCGGTAGCGGAGGTAGACGCGAGCGGCGTTGCAGGAGATGGCGGTAGTCAGTTAGTCCACTCTCTAGTGATGATCTTCCTGTGGGTGAGGATGTCGAGCCAGAGAAGCTGGAATTTTATTTTTTATCTTCTGTATTTTTTTTGGATCCATCGGAAAAGATTTATTTTCTATATTTTATTATAGAAAAAGGGTCGAATAAGCCCTTCTACTATTTCCAATCCGTCACTTAACCCCTGTACTAAAAAAAGTACGGAGTATCATATAAGTACGTCTACTTTACAAAATTGATCAATCTGACCATTTAATCAGTCTTTTACCTGTAATAACAGATTTTTAATATTTAAAAACTCTAAAAATTTGTTAAAATTTGAAGAAATATTTAAAAAATTATTAAATTTTCATAATATCAAAGTCAATATTTTTGAACTTCTAAAAATATTTGTATATTCTACATCTATTTAAAAGGTTTTTAAATTTTTATTTTCATTTTTTCAGTTTCAATTTATTTTTTCAGTTTTATGAATTTTTTATTTTAATGGTTTTAAAATTTTAAAATCTATTTTGGCATTGATATCATTTTTTATACTCCTTATTATTATTAGACTATTTATTCAAATTTATATGAATTTTTGTAAGATGTATCAATATTTCTAATTTAATTTTTAAAAAACTAACCTACTATAGCAAGTCAAATGACTTGGTTGATTGTACTTTAAAAGTATACGTACTTATACGATTCTTTTTTTAGTACAGGGGCTTAAGTGACGGATTGGAGATAGTACAAGGAATTATTTGATCCTTTTTCCTTTTATTATAAACATAGATCCTGAATTTTTCATTAAGGGCAATTTGGTCAGGTCAAGTCCTTTTAACTCCTATGAAACGTTAGACTCCTATTTATGCCTAACCGCAAGTCTGCAATGTTTTACTTCTATACACGGAATTAGCCCTATATTAATCATAAATTTGATTCACTTTAGTATATTGTGCACAACCTAAAAACACATTGATCTATTAAATTTTAAAGAAAAATGTAATGTTACAAATTAAATTATAAAAACACATATTAAGTCATAGTATGCATTTATAACAAAAAAATCTATAGGAAAAGTTGTTCTAAAGTGATATTTGAGTATTTGACTAAAATATAACTTATGATCAAATTGATTCGATATTCATATATGATTTGTTAACCATATTGTTAAACGGATACGAATACAAATTGAAATTAATATTCGTTTCATAATCGAATTCGGATTTGAAAAAATTAAACAAATACGAATACAAATACTCCCTTGTCCCTCCGTATTTTAATGTTCCTTATGTTAGCTTTGGACACAAGATTTAAGCGAGAATAGTAGGGGTAATGAATAGTATAGAAAAAGTAGGAGGGAAGGTAAAAAGGTAGGAAATAGAGGATAAAAAGTAGAAACGGCAAGGGTAATTGGGTATTTTTAATGTAAAAACTTACATAAAAGGGAAAGTGTATGGAGCTTTTAAATACATCCCAAAATGAAAAGTGTATGGAACTTTAAAATACGGAGGGAGTATCACACTATTCGACTCGATCCGGTTCGTTTACAACCCTAGACTTTAGTAATAACATTACGAAAGAACGGTAGTTTCAACAACAGTAAGCATTAAACCCCAGTCTAATCTCTTTAGCTTGCGATGAATGTACCTCTTGCCTATAAAATGTATGGTAATCCTACCATACTAACTCATAATAATATTTTCCAATAAGCTGAGGTCTGTGGCAAAAGGAAAGGAGGCAAAATTAATGGAGCAGAGATAGTAATGATCTCCACATTCTGTTTTCCCTCTCTTGCTTTCTATGCCCTCTATTAATGAGAATAATTATAGCGATTAATCTCAATCAAAAGAGAGGCTTTAAAAGCATTGACAATATAATTCAGAAAAAAAAATAACGGTTGAGTCCTAATCTTGAATAATTATAAAACTTTACCCCACAAGACAACCTAATGAAGGTTTCATGTATCTTAAAATACAGCATTAATGTAGTATAAGAACTAGTGAAGTTACACACACAAACACACATAAAATTATCAACTGCCACAATGATATACATTAACTTGATGTATAATTGTATATTTAAAAGAATATAAAGCTTTAAGAGCATCGTAGATGGATCCCACTTGGATATTAACAGAACAAAGGGAATAGATAATGAAAATTAGAGGGATAAAAAGTTGATTACCAGACCACTTCCTGTGCTTTGACACAATCTTGAAGCATCATGGTAACGCTCTTCAGCTATTGCATCCTGTATTGCATCAAAACGGAGGCATATCATTTTCAGTAATTCTTCCCAAAGGATCATATACCCTTTTTACTAGAATTGCTACCTTCAGTCCTGACATAATTTCTGTGATAGTGTCCTTTGAAGTTGCTTCAGCAATGGCTTTTTTCAACTTTGCAGCTTCTTGGAAATCTTCATTCTCTACTGCATCTTCTAGTTCAAACTTTAATCACATAAACATCAGAAGAACATCACAAATATTCCAGTTACTTCTTTAATTTCACTTTTTAACCACAACTCACACCAATGCAACGACCTTAGAGGCTACTCTACACAAGAAAATGACAGGAAATGAAATTTTACAATCTTAACTAGAGAATGTAACATGAATCTCTATATGCTGCCTATATATAGTGTAATACTAAGCACTTTATCTCAAAGATATATTAGCTTTTATGTTAACAAATACTGCTGCTACTATTTGGCCAAATGAGAAAAGTTCATCTCCACCCCTTGAAGAATCCACTTTTTCCTGCCTCTAAAAAGTGTAAATACTAAGCACTTTCTCATAAATATTTTGATGACTCCTTTCTTTCCATTCATAAATACCAACTCATCAGGCATTATGCAACCAGCAAAAATGTTAAGGACTGGACCTTACCTATAATAAGAGTCTTCTTTAGAAATTTTAATCTTGTCAATAATAGGGTTTTAGGCCCTATAACTAGATAAAAGTGGGCTGGCCCATTAGGAATAGAATAAATAAGGATGAGTGGTGAGTAGATGGGGGAGAACTTTGGGATCAGGACTGGGAAATTAGGAGTGAGGCCACTTGAAGAGTCTCAGCCTTTTTCTTTCCTTATTTTGTGCATTCCATCATTAAATCTTCAGTAATATACTACGGTTTTCTATTGGGATTCTTCCGTTACTTATCAAAAAAACATACAAAACAATTTTTTTTTAACAAAATTGGAATCATGCAGTGATATTATATCACCAACCTCTATTGTGTCCTTACTCCTTAGTACTTGCAACCTCTATGGAACCCTTCAGTTTTAAAACTAGTCGCTAATATCTATAGCAATCAAGTTTTTTCATAGAACAACAACAACATCATTCAAGCCTTAGTCCAAAAGAGTTTGGGGTCAGGTAACATGAATCGATACATGAAATTAGAGCTAAAAAGATAGGAAAGATAAGAAAAATAAAAAGATAAGATACGATAAAGTCATAAAGATAAGGCAAAGATAAAAAGAATAAAAATAAGTTAAAAAGATACAAATGAAGAAAAGTGATCACTTAACTCTTTGGAGCATGTGCATCATAAATCATAATACTCTCAAATTCTCTCTCCAGATTACTCTCTCTAAAGCCATACCCTCATCCAACCCAAGAAGAATCATATCATTCCTGACCCTCTAGCTGACGTTTGCTTGGGTCTTCCTCTTGCTCTCCTCTCTACCCCTTCTCTCCACCTCTTAACTCGTGGAACAGTTGCATCAATTGGTCTTCTACGCACACGACCAAACTACCGTAATCGAGACTATTGCATCTTATTTTCATACGTGCTACTCCCACCTTTCGAATGATTGTCTCATTCCTCAAGAAGTATTTTCAATTATGTCTACACATCCAACGCAACATGTGTATCTCAGTCACACTCATCTTTTGAGGTTTCACTATCCAATACTCTACGCCACACAGTTATGTAGGCCTAATTGTTGTCCGATAAAACTTACCCTTTAGTCTACTTGGCATACCTCGACCACATAGAAATCCTGAAGCACTTTTCCATTTCATCCACCCTGTTATGATTCTATGAGATACATCTTCATCTAGTTCACCGTCCTTCTAAATTATAGAGCCCAAGTAACGGAACATATCACTTACATGTATCTTCTTACAATCTAGAGTAATCTCACTGTTACCACGGTTACTACCTCCACCAAACTTGCACTCGATATACTTAATCTTGTTTTGACTTAGCCCAAAACACTTATTATCCAAATAATGAAGGACACAAAGTCAATCCTTAGTGCACTCTGGTAGTAATAGGAAACTTTTCAGTCTTCCCTACACAAGTACGGACACTTGTGGCACAATCCTCATACATATCCATTATGATGTTGATATGCTTAAGCGATATGTCTTTCCTAGTTAAGGCTCATCATACGTCTTTTCTAAGTCAATGAACACCAAATACAGATCTTTGTTAGTGTCTCTATACTTCTCCACATGTTGGCTAAGAAGGTGAATTACCTCAGTTGTTGAGCGATCAGGTATAAAACCAAATTATTTCTCCGAAATCTTCATACTTTTTCGGTGCATTTGCTTAATCACTCGCTCCCAAAGTTTCACGGTGTGACTAATAAGCTTAATCCCTCGATAGCTAGCACATTTTTGTACATTACCCTTATTGTTAAATAAGGGAATATCAGTACAATTCCACCAACTCACTGGCATTTTGTTGTTTTTCCAAATCCTGTTCAAGAAACATGTTAACCCCACTCAACGCCTCTCTCTCCCGAACTTCTCCAGTCATTGATCGGTGTGCTATCTGGACCCACTACTTTCTTCTGTCCCATCTTTCTCAGAGCCTCATTAACTTATGTCATTTGGATCATTCTCATATTATCATATAACCCTGATTTACCATACAATCCGGTATAGTAAGACAATCAATATTCTTCACTTTATTCCTGTTGAACAAGGCATCAAAGTATGAACTTCACCTCTCTTTTATTTCCTCGTCCTCCATTAGTACCTTTTGAACGACGTCCTTCACACACTTAACTTTTTGGATATCTTGTCCTACGACACGAAGACGAGCAAGTCTATAGATATCTTTTTGTCTTTACTTAAAGTCCAAGTTTACATGCAACTTCTTGTTCACTTTCTCTCGTGCTTCCTTCACGACTTTCTTAGCTTTTCTTTTAGCCTCCTTATATTCCTTTATGTTCTTATCACATCAAATTCTACCCAACTTTTTGTAGCATTCTCTTTCGTTCTTTATTGCTTGTTTCACATTGTCATGCCACCAAGATGTGCCCTTTTTCCGTGGCATATATCCTTTAGATTCTCCAAATATTTCCTCTGCCACTTTGTTAATGGCACACATCCTCCACGTGTGTGTAACTATCAATACATCATACATCTTCATCTAACATTTTGTGTGCAAAGCTTTGTTGGAGATTCTCTTGAACCTCCACCATTTTATCTTTCATTCCACTTGTTGCTTAATCCGCGTTCTAAGCTTCTTACCTCGAAAATCAAGCATTGATGTCTTATGTTGAATGACAACTCTCTCACCTGGGATAATCTTACAATCAGTGTAACTAGTTCTCCAAATAGTTTGTACTGAGTAGTCAACTTAGGTACTATTAGCTCCACTTCTATAGGTTACAAGGTTGGAGTTGAAGTCTATTTTCTTGAACCAAGTGTTCATTGTAGCCAATTCATATATTTTGAGGCAAAATTCAAAATGTTCTTTCCCCGCTTGAATTTTAGTGCCAAAACCATGTACGCCATGAAAACTCTCAAAATCATCACGACTCGAGCCTACATGCATGTTGAGGTCGCCTCATATGACCAGCTTCTATCCCGTGGCACTCAGCGCACCACTTTCTCAAGATCTTCCCAAAGTTATTGAGTGAGAGATGAATCTAATTCCACTTATGGGGCATAGGCACTTATCACATACATGATCTCATCTCCTATCACCAATTTAATGATCATAATGTGATCATTCTTTCTAATGACTTCCACCACATACTAAACATAGTCACGCGTAACAATAATATCTACTTCATTTATGATCTTTTCTTCCTGAATACCACTTATGCAGTTGTCATAAGTTTTTTTCATCTTAGGACTAAATTGGAATTACTAAATCCAAAGTCATCAACGAAAAGTCAAAACATAGACGAAATAGGATAGGAAGTTCCTTTTTTTTTAGAAAACTCAACATTCCAAGTTTCCAAGCAACTTTAAAACCAAATGCACAAGGCTGAACTGATACAAGAACAACAGCAAAATTACCCCAATGCCGCAAAGGCTCCCACCTGCATTGGGGTAAGGGGGTCGGATGTATGCAGTCTTTCTCTGTACTAAAGCACAGAGACTATTACTGTGCTTAGTATTTACACTTATTCCGTACTAAGCAAAAAAGTCAATTAATGGGAATAAAATACGAAGTACTCCGTAATTAATAATACTAAGTGATAAGCACTAGCTCATCAGGCCCAAAGCTGTACAGAAATAGAAATAGTTATGTGATAAGCACACAGACTATTTATGTGCTTAGTTAAATCGGTTCTATGTAACAAGGCTTTACTATATATGGGGTCCAAATTTGTTAAGTTTACTAGTATATACCAGTATAATTGGAGTAGTAAGATGTAAAGTATCATACAAAATATTCGGAAAATAAGAAATGTCATTGTTAACACGTCTAAACTCCTTGAGTAATTCCGTGTACTTTTTTATATTTTACCAAATTATGTAATTTTTTACTTTATACTCCCTCCGTCTCGTTGAAAGGTTTCCACTTTCTTTATTTGTGTGTCCTATTTAAAGGTTCTTATTCCATGTTAGAAAATAACTTATTCTCTTTAATTACTCTTTTACTCAAATTTTTCTTTCCTGCTCATTATATGTCCAGTCTCACAATTTCCCCTCACCAACTTATCTCTCCTTTAATTACTTTCAATGTTTACTTTTTCTAAATTTTCTCTTTCATTTTTTTTACCCAAAAAAAAAAAAATCTAACATTTACTTGAGGAAACCTACCAACAGGAAGGAGGGGGTACGCCGTATAATTTAATTTTACATTTATCTATAGTTTTACACAGGCCACTCGAAATTAGTAGACTGCCTTGAGAAAATCATCGGACAAAATCAAAGAAAATCTAGTTGTGCGTATGAATATTAACCTTGAGAATAGAAGCATAGCTCTCAGCTTGCTCCATTTCAGTGAAATGCCGAGTCCATTGCGTCCAGTCCCAACCAGGCAAATCCGAAATAGCAGTATGATCAGAAGAGGAAGAGCAGCTACGGTTTCCAATAGGGGAAGTAGAGCTTAGACCATCTTTGCTGCCACTAAAGCTGGATTTCGAGAACTTGCGGTAGCTGCTGATGCACGAGTTGTTGCTGTGGGGGAAAATAAGAATCGGATATTGTCTGGCAAATATGAAATGATTTTTTGGGGAAGAAGAAGAGGAGCAGGAGAAATAAGGCCTCGGTGGACAGTGAAGTGCGGGCCATGCGTTGGCCACCGCCATGTTTATCTTCTCTTTTGAATCCGAAAAGGATCCCAAAACTCAGAGATTGATGAAGGTTCTGCTTTCTATAAAGATGTTTATTATGCTCACTCCTTCGGGTCTGACTAAAAAAATACTTTTCCACCTAAAATAATTAATTTGTTATTCCACTCGTTTCGACGGAGAAACTCTCAATCATATAATTTTCACAATTCTTATTTCTCGCTTAATTCAAACAGTGCAAAATCGAGAAAATATTTGATTTTGATGTATTTTATAATTGTCAAGTCTTGCGCGATCCCGTTTGATTTGTTTATGTTTGATCAAGTAAAATTACCTAAATGCTAAGAGAAACATACGCTGCCCCCATAATTAATTCAAATAATTAAAATAATCATTTGTCCAATTTTATCCTTTTCGTAAAAAAACACGTACAACATAACGTAAATTCTTTGGCAGACTATTCATCCATCTCCATAGCTCCGATCGGCGGCCAGGACCCCAACCGCCTTCAAATGATTTGGTTGAGTAGAGTCAATAAACTCAAGAAGACAATGAAGTATTTGGAGAAATCACGGTAGGTGAACAAGGCTCTTGGATCTTCCTCTGTCATGTTTTATATTGAATTTCTGTAACAGAAGCCATGGACAAAACCTGGAATGAAGATTCTCCAAATTTTGATTTCCACTCCAAAATTTTGGGCAAGTTGGGCGCTACTCCTTGTTCCCAGAATCGTCACGGCCTGATTGCGGGTTGAGCAGGCTGGATTGCTAGACTAAAACATACACAAAGGTGGATTTGTAAGGGGAAGAGTATGATGTGGTCGGAAAAGAGACTTTTTCGGAGTTTCTAGGTATCATGCTCTCCCGGAGGCCTCCCGCTATATATATCTTATGAAGTTCCATACTTTAATTTTATTGAGATGCAATATTCTTGAGGTAATCAACAACAAGTCGATTTTGAGATTGAGGGTGAGGTGGCGCTATGCAACATGCTCTCACCAGTCACCATGTGTTGATTTGAATAATTTAAATTAATCAAACTGGGGGCGTCTAATTTGAAGACGGGTTTGGAGATCGAGGTTGAAGAACAGTACGAAAAAGAACACACGAAACTTGAAGCGGTTTAGGCAAAAGGGTATAATTGAACAATTAATTATTTTAATTATTTGATTTAAATATGGGGGCTGTTTTTAGCAAAATGAGGGCTGTGAATAGAATTACCCATAGGCGAATAGCATAGTTTCTCCCCATTTCAAGTTGGAAGTTCCTTGGATTCCCCCAAACAAAGGGTTCGGAACCATTCTGACGGGGGACCGTTTGATGATATAGAGTTCGGCCCAATTATGTCCAGATGGAGACTACGAAATGGATCATTTAATTTCTTATTCGTTTATTATTGTGGCAGAAGGGTTGAGTCCATTTATAAGGAGGAGAATAAGCGATTAGTAGATTACATGGGTGGTGTATTTTGTGGTGTCCCAAAAACTTCACATTTGATTTTTGTTGATGATAGGTCGCAATTCTCCAAGCTACTCATGATGAGGCAAAGGTGATTCAGGAAATTCTCCACAAGTATGTAGAAGCTTCAAGGCATGTAATTAATTTTGATAAATCCAAACTTTTTTTTATTACAAACATTCATGATATGTTGGGGGTGGGAACGGTGGAGGGGGTGAAAATACCTAAGGTTACCGCCTTACCGGTGTAATTTGGGAAACGGGAAAAATGATATTTAGGATTATATCATACAGAGAGTGGTTAATATAATCCAATACATAGCTGAAATAATAGGTTTCTGAGAAAGATAAGTTCTTTTGAAAATGGGTAAATTATATTTAGGATTATATCATACAAGAGGGTGGTTAATATAATCCAATACATAGTTGAAATAATATGTTTCTGTCTAGGGTAGTGAGAGAAGTTCTTTTGAAAACACTGACTCGGGTAATTCTTAGTTATGTGATGAATGTGTTTCTTCTTCTTGTGGAGTTGTGCAACAAAATTGAAGTGACAGTGAATGAGTTTTGGTGAAATGATTTATCTGGAAAAGAAATTCGATAAAAATGAAGAATAAGTGATTCAAGCTCAAGCTCAAGCATACCCATGCTCGGACTCGACTCGGCTCATTTGCACCCTACGCCGAACATAGCCTAAGTGATTCACTGAGTTATGTCACTATTAATTAAATGAGAAGGGATAAGGGTCAAATTGGACATTGTGGTTATATAAAAATCTCATATTGGACATTAAGGTTTCAAGTGGACCGAATTGGACACTATGGTTACTTGTGTATCTCATATTTGACACTAAAGTTTTAAATGGATCAAATTTTATGTTTTTTGGTCATCTTGGACACCCACCAAAGATCTTCATCTTGAAAGATACAAGTATTCCTTTTTCTCTTGGTTTTAGGCTCTACTTGCAACTACTTATGCTTAAATAAAAGCACTTTTTGGGAAAAAGTGATTAGTATTAAAAGTTGGTAGTGTTTGGTAAAATAAGTGCTTTTTGTGTAATAGAAAAAGTAAAAAGTAGATTCTACACGAAAATCGATTAAGTAAAAGTTGATAGTGTTTGGTAAAATAAGTGCTTTTTTAAAAAAAAAAAAAAAAGCCAAAATCACTTTTTTTAATTGATTGCAAACAAGCCCTTAGTTATGTACCTAAAAAATAAAAGTAACTTAAGTCGTGTATTTATATTTAGAATATATAATTAGAAGTTACAATTAAGAAAATCTATTATAATGTAATTGAATTCTTTAATATTGTTAAATCAATTTAACAAATCGATGTTTCTTAAAGTTCCATAAAAATTATATGAATGAAAAGTCCTAAATATATTTTTAAATTGTTAAATATAAGAAGTTATTAATTAAAATCAAAATATATATTCGAAAACTTCAAATTAGATATTCCAAAATTATATACGTAATTAAATTAGTTTATTTTCACCAAAAAGGAAAGGAAATATAAGACTAACGGTTTTTATTAAAGCAAGAAGATCGACAATCATAAGTGAGTGTCCAAAACCCATGAATTATGAAGCTTCAGTGTTTAATATAAGATACATATGTAATCATAGTGTCCAATTTGGTCCATTTGAAATTTTAATGTTCAATATGAGATTCTCATAAAATCATAGTGTCCAATTTGAACATTATCCCAAATGAGAAAGTAGCACCAAGAACACCCAAGATATATGATAAAAAAGAACATTGATTATTGTGGAGTTTAAACTTCTATATCCATGTCAATGTGTAGAACGGTTTAAAATTCATTTTTTCATAAAGAACATGAGTATTACTAAATCTAATTAATTAATAAAATAAATTAATAAAATGTATTTAAAATTTTAGAAGGACTCACGGAGTGAAAATACACTGCATAATGTAAGAGTCCCGTCTTTGACTCCCATATGCAGCCTCTTTATTTAGTTTTTTTTGTGGCTGTTAGGACGTTTTTATATTAATATATGGTCATTAATGTACCTTCCGGGGTAAAAAAAAATGGTCATTAATGTAATAGAGGAAGTTAATTAGGTTGACCAATCTTTATGAAGAGTCATCAAATCGTCGGACAATGACAGAATGACTAAAACGTAACATATACACACATGTCATTATTAGCATTTATTGACTCACAGCTGCAATATAATAATGGGAGAGGAGTGTTAAGCTGTTTTGTGAAGATAACAATGTAACAGACGAACTTGCTTCTACTTTTCCTCCGGACGAGTCAGAAGTGATGAAGCAGACAAGATGCATTCATCTCTTCTCTTTTACATAGCATTAGCACTCAATGTAAACGGACGGGCATTCTCGCTCACTCACACTCTGAAACACACATATCTTCGAACAACACTCTGAAATAAATCTAAACTTATCAGATATATTATATTTCTTTGATCCTTTCAACGCAACTGGTTTGTCATTTCCGAGCGTTCAAATCATATTTTCGTAGTTTAGCTTACGCAAAATAGCTTAAATAGGCGTTCATTCAACAACGGGCGGACAACGGGCGGTACAGATGGCTCGCCTTCCTTATGAACCACCGTCATAGAGTGAACAAAGTTACCCGAGTTTGGAAGATGGTGTTTCAAGTTAGAGTTTGTCAACTTGTGGTATTATGCTCTAATTTTATATCAACTTTATATCTATTCTGTTAGACAATTGCTTTGGTTTTTTATCGTGTATGTTGATGTCAGTCTTGTCATGTCAATCTAATCTCATGCGGATAATTGCTTAAGCCCCCGCATGTTCAGTGAAAGTTTTTCTCAATTTTGGGTACATTTTCTATGTTTGATCAGGGAGTGGGAGGACTTCTCGATTATTATGAGTCTAGCGGGAAAGAAGGTTTGTGTTGTTTGTATGTTCTACTATATCATTACATGCGATTTAACTTTTAAAAAAATATCATTCACCAGTCTTATATTTAAGAATGATTTTACTTGGATTGAAATTTTAGTCCAATCTAATCTGTTAGATGACTGGTCTCTATGTAATTTACAACTCTCGAGCTCTGGTCTGATCTTGTCTGGTCTGATCTTCTTAGACTAAAATAAGTCCAAATAAAAACATCTTTATACTTCTAGAGAGCTTTAACATTTAAGTTGAAAAAATTACATTGCTCTTGAAAAAAAAAACATTGCTCTTGAAACTTTACATTCAATCAACAACTACCGTATACGAAAAAAGGTTTGAAAAGACAGAAAGTCTGCTATCATATACGAAGTACTACGTACGTAGTACGAAGTATTCCCCAAAATTGACTAAGCGTGTAATTGAAAAAAATGTAAATCGTCTGCATATTCTTGAGTTTGTTAAACGAACTTAATTAAATGCTACGGAGTACTACGGACGTATTAAGGGCCCGTTTGTTATGATGTAAAGTAAACACTTTGCGTGTAAAGTGTAGGGAAACAAACATTTCACACCGTTTGTTTTAATTGTTTAATGTAAACTGTAGGACACTTTTTAAAACACATTTTACACTGTACCATGTAAAATATTTTACATGGGGAGAGGGTAGTAAACTAGTTTACATCCCGTTAATATATCCAGTCCGTAAATATGCAGACGCAAGCAAAGATGTTGCCGACTTTTGAAGATGCATGTGACGATAAGCATAAATCATGCTGGC